CGGGCCCAACATGAACAAAGCTATACTACTGTAACAAAGGATATAGTGACGATATTTCCAAGGAATGAGACGTCACCAAGGAATGAGCTTGTGTAGAGAAATGGAACACTACTAAACTATCACATCTAAAAAGAAAGAAACAGTTTTTTATGTAAAATACTAACTATGCCATAAAATATATTGTTTTGTATACAATATTTATCAAAGACGAAAAGTGAAGATTCCTTTACAGAGTACTTCTGTGACTGCAAGAAGCAAGAAACAATAACTACATCATATTCTTTGTAGTAATAGCTTTGAGTAGTATGAACCAGACTCCATGACTTTGGTTGCCAGCAAATTTGAGAAATCACCATCAACTGAGAAAGCATTGAGAAACTGATGTAAGCCTGCTAAATGATATGCTCCTGAGTCCTAAATCATGGCATAGCATATTGCAGCAATTGTGGAAATACCTAATTTATACCTTAGTGTAAAAAATAGCTTTCCAGTCATCAATTTGATGTATAAAATTCTTGTGATCACTTCAATTCCTGCATCTTGAAATCTAGTGTGTTTTTGGCATATAGGTTCCAAAAGATTTTTTGAAAACTTTAGGTACCTTCTGAAACCTATATGCCAAAATTTACTATTTGGATAAAATTGGCGTATTACAGAAAATTATACAGATATACTTGCTAAGACGGAGGAGAAGTGATTTAGCATATTAGATAATTTGATGGAATTTTATATCAAGTTGAGGTATCAATAACCTTGGTAAAACTAATACATTTAGCTAAAATTACGATAGTACCCTAATGAAGAAACAGAGATTCATGTCACAGAACAATGTTATTCCAATGTCATCAAATGAAATTAGCATGGTTTTTGAAATTTCATCACTCTCCAACATAGTAAAAAAGTACACTGAGCCACGAAAAAGAGTTAAAAGACAACAAATTCAATGCTCAGTAAACAACATCACTAATGTAATTCGGTTAAGCTTGCTTTAACAAAACCAAGTAGGCTATGTAAAGGTTAGCACATAGCCAAGCAGACTATGTCTTTGGTTTCATTCCTTATGTTCTGATGTAATGTTATGAGAACATAAAAGTTATATCAGGTATATCATGCGTACCCATCTTGGTTGGCAAACCATTATGTCAATTATATCTATGGTAAATACAACAACACCCAGCAAGTTATTTACCTTTTTCCCATGTGGCTGAAGGAAGCAGTTAAATTGCAGGTCTGCACCTCTACTCGGTATCAGCTGTGGTTATAGATGGAAGTATAAGCTATTTGTGAGATTAATCTTAAATGCTTAAATAAAAACTAATTAATCTAAAGCTTCAACGAATCTTTGCAAACTAAATAACTCTACCAATATAAACTTCGTCGAATATATGTACGAAAAGGAAAAAATCATTTAAAAAAAGTTCAGCGGTGAAACATGTACTACCCATGTTTTGCCAGAAAGTTCAGAAGAAAACTATCTTACTACTATAGTGAGCACTTCCAGTGCTATAATCCCAAATGACAGGTAAAGCATCATAATTACACGATGATGATGAAAAAAAATCCACATGAGACTCCAGGAAGAACTAATTATTAGCTAAAGTATGTCAAATGATTTTCAAGAAATGGTCTGTTCCAAGCTACTCTTACCTTCAAGTCCACTTGGGTGATATTGGATCTAGCCAAATTTTTTCTTAATTTTGTCAATTCATCCAGAATCTGCAGCTTGACTGTTCTCCTAATAATGCATTGTCAATGTGCCATGAAATCTCCATAAGTTGTGATCCATGGTGCATTCTGCCTTAAAAATTAAATACACTTCTACGAGCTAAGTACTTATGATGAAAACTTGAGGATGAAAAGAGTAACAGTTTTCTTGCCATGACAGCATCAGCCTGCAAATATAAATTATAAGGTTCCAAAGCCAATTTGAGAGATCAAAACCAGTATGAAACATACTTAATCTTTAAAAATTAAACACATGTAATAGTTAAATCACTTTGAGATCTTTCATAAGAAGTTTCGACAAAAAGATAATAATATATTTAGGTGTCTCAAGGTGTTTCCTGTGATAACATGCCCTTTTAGATAGCATACTTACTCTTATACTACAATCATGTAAAATAAATCATTACAATACATTACCTATTTATGCATATAACAGACTTTCTATCATTTAACAGCTTAGGTATCTTCTAATTGCAGCACAATTCTGTTTGTAGGCGAATTGAACTTTGGATGGTTGTACAAAAAAGTAAAAAATTAAACTTCGGATGCCAATTGAATAGAAAATCTATAAATCTGTTGGAACCAAATTTTGTGCAGAAAGGCCTTCTTAGTTCTTCCAAGTGTGTAGGGGCAAAAACGAACAATGATAAAAATTGGATAATTATTACTTCAACTACTAACACATTAAATATCCATATTTCACAACAACATTTAGTTGATAGCCCTGTCTCAAGTTTCAAAATTACCTGAGCAATCAAGTGAGGCCATAAGGATTGAACAGAACTTACAGTCTGCAACTTTTATGGCCGTTATGAAGTTCAGATATTCTTATTTATATACAATTGATCAGAAGAAATGACAGCAAAAGCTGTTTTGGTAAATTTAGACCACACATTTAAATCAATTAAAGTTGTGAGCTAACATTTATTGAAACAGCATAATAAGAAAAATTAGGTAGTTTCTTTCAGCAATTTCTCAAACACTTCTAGTGCAAACCCAAATGCACTTTGTATAATAACAGACTTAAATCCATTCTTACTGTACTTTGATAGAGGTCAAACAGATGAAAATTAAGACTAAGCCCGAAAAAAGCAAGTTGAAGACGCACAAAAGCGAGCGCAACAACATATCACCAATTAGCTTAAATTTTAGACAAAAGTACTCAAAATCTTCTATCCAAGTTCAGAATATGAGAGGGAAACATTGTTCAGACTGAAAACAAACTGAATCTTAAATCTAAATAGCGTTGATAGTCAGACCTTTATTGTATATGCGCCAGATCGAAAAAAGGTAGTCCGCATATGTGCAAGTGGTAAACTGAACTCTGAGATGTTAGAATTTCCCAACGGAGCAGCAGTGATAACGATGAGAGTAAGCAGAGAGCAGCATAGCGACATAAATTTTATGTTGTAGTAGCCACGTGTCAAACATAGAAGAAAGCGGTAATACATGTCTATCAGGGCTAATGTATGCAATTATGATAATACCCTCCTGACCCATTTTACAACTGGATGCAGCTAACTTAAGATCTGTCAAACTGTGCTCTACGTGTTAGGCTGTAATTGCAATTACATTTTTATCCTTGGGCCAGGCAGACATGTTGACCATGAGCTGCCTGGTTATTCCCATTTATATTACCCAGTAGAAAATACCAATAGATCAGAGTGGAGGAGCAAGAGAGCACATATATGAATCAAAGAGGGGTTTGAAGAAGAGGGCTTTGCAGATAAAGCTTGAAAAGTATCGGATATCTTTAGTAAGAAAAATCAGACGGTGAGTTGATATTTATTAAAATTGGGCTACACGTGTTGGGCTGCAAATACAGCCATGAAATAATTTTGGGCCAGGCAGACATGTTGACCATGAGCTGCCTGGTTATCCCCATTTATAGTATAGGAATAGAAATAGAAATACTCAGCAGCCAACAACGAGCTAGATATTCATAAACACCAAAAAGGTAAAAATAGCACCGTCTAGCCAGTTTTCGGACCGGTCATTCAAAAATAGCCAGCATTTACCAAGTCAATGAAAAATAGTCACTATTTTGCTGCAACAGAGACCGGTCCAACATAATATACTGGAGTTCGGTGCACCTGTGTATGAATTTCCAGCATATTATGCTGGAACTCTTACACACAGAAAGTTCCAACATAATATACTGGAGATTCGAGCACTTGTGTATGAACTTCCAGCATATTATACTGGACCGGTATACTTTGCTGGAACTCCAGTATATTATGCTGGAGTTCCAGCATACTTATCTTGGAACTCCAGTATAATATGCCGGAGTTCAAGTATACTTATGCTGGAACTCCAGCATAATATACTGGCGTATTTTTCGGGTTTTGAACAGTGTTTTCGCTCAGATTTATCTTACATGAAAAGTGGCTAGATTTCGATTACTTTTGAAACTGGGCTATTTTTGAACGACCACTTGTAAATCTTGCTGTTTTTGAATTTCTCCCTATAGGGATTCATTATCTTTCCGTAAATTGGGCCTGAAGTTAACCTTTTCTCCGGGAGAAATTAAAAAATAGCCACATGTATAAGTGGTCATTTAAAAATAGCCACAGTTTCAAAAGTAATTAAAATTTATCCACTTTTCATATAAAGATAAATATGAATGAATACACTGTTCAAAATCCAGAAAATACTCCAGCATAATATACTGGAGTTCCAGCTTAAGTATACTGGAACTCCAACATATTATAATGGAGTTCCAGCATAAGTATACTGGAACTCCAGCATAATATACTGGAATTCCACTATAATATACTGGTCCAGTATAATATGCTAGAAGTTCATACACAGATGCTCCAATCTCCAGTATATTATGCTGGAACTTTCCGCGTGTTGGAGGTCCACTATAATTTGCTGGAAGTTCATACACAGGTGACCGATCTCCAGTATATTATGCTGGACCGGTCCCTGTTGCAGCAAAACAGTAGCTATTTTTCGATGACTTTGCAAACACTGGCTATTTTTGAATGACCAGTCCGAAAACTGACTAACCCGTGCTATTTTAATCCTTTTTCTCCAGCTGATCCAACTAAGCCCAACAAGCCCAGACCGTTAAAGCAGCCCAATCAAAGCGGTCAATCAATCCTCCGTCGAAGCGAGTCCCTAACACGCGCAGAAAAGGGACGTGCCCAACCGCCCAGTTAGCACTCATAAAAGTTCGCCACCAAATTATAGTACAACATCGTGAAACTGAATTTACGAATCGATAATTCCAACTCAGAGAATCATAGGTTGTTTCTCTATTTAAGCAAACAATTGAAATCTCTGTCCAAATTTATCTAATAAGATTATCGGAATGTGAAAGAATTCAAATAGAGCCAAATGCATATAGAAGATTCAATCGAACTAATTTAATTAGTTTTCCTACATCATCTTCCTTCTCAATTATTCATATTTGATTTATCCATTTTCTTTGTTATTATCTCAGAGATTTTAATCAAAGGTAGATTTTAATGGCTGTAGCTTCTGATCAAGCCACAACCATCTGCAGTCACTGGTAAGTCCCCCCCATTTTGTTGGAATTTATACCAATATTACTATCTGCTTAAGCCTTGATGGGCAGAGTTGCGCTGTAATTAGGCTGGGGAGATAGTAGTACCTGGTGAAATAGTTGAGGTGGTGCAAGCTGACCCGAATACCAGAGTCATAAAAATAAATTATCCAGACAATATTGTGTTTGTATTGTAGCTGCAGTTTTATGCCCCTAGCGTGGGCAAACTTGTCTGGTATCTATGCTGGTGGGAGGTACTAGGTGGAATAGTCGAGCTGTGCGCAAGCTGACCCAGATACCACCGTCGTAAAAAAAACAATTTACAGACAATATATGGGTTTGTCTTTAGCTGCAATTTTATGCCCCATTTAAGAAGGAGAACTGTATAAAGACAATATACAAGTGTGTATTAATGATTGTGATACATGGTAGATAACTGTGCTTGAGTCTGTAATCTCTGATGACACAACCTTGGTGTGTTGTATAATGAAATATTATTGATTTATCAGCAAAAAATGATCACGATTTAGCTTGTTTAACGGGTTACATTAGTTGCAAGTTGGTTATCTCTAGTACTGGTTGCAATGTGCATAAGATCCAATCCTGGAAAAGTAAATACTAGCTAGTTTATTGGTTTCTACTTGTGGATTGTCATGTTGGCAGAAGCGAATTTCTTATTGAGTGTCCTCATTTTGCTGCCAATGGAAACTGAAGAGTTTGGGTCTTTAATAGATTATGAATTAATGCGTTGTGGATAATACACTGTAAAATTCGACAATGCAAGTGATGAACCTTACTGAGTGTCCTCATTTTGCTGCCAATGGAAACTGAAGAGTTCGGGTCTTTAATAGATTATGAATTAATGCGTTGTGGATAATACACTGTAAAATTCGACAATGAAGTGATGAACCTTACAGCTTTATATTTAAATCTAAGCTATAAGACGTATAGTTTAACAGCAGGTTGCCATTCGTGCATGACCAGTCGTACCATGCTAGATGTCATCTTTATTCATGTTTCAACCTTTCAGCTTTTTATAATACATATTATCTTTTCCTATGTGCTTGTATATTCGTCACTTGCTAATCTGAATCTTTATGTTTCCAGTGACAGAGCGATTCCGTCTTCCAATCTTGATTTGCATGTTGCTCACTGCTCCCGGAAACTTGAAAAATGTAAAATCTGTGGGGATATGGTTCCGAAAAAACATGCAGAAGAACATTTCTTGAGCACTCATGCTACAGTAAGTGAACCAATTTATTTGATCTCTTCATTTTGTGGATAATGCCGAGAGGTTTTACAGGGAAAAAGTTCTTTTTTTCTCCTCTCTAATTTTACCTTCAGCTTTTAGATGCAAGGAGTTCTCAATTACCTGTAACTGTATCATTTGGTCCAACAGATGTTAGTCCCTTTCTGAGATAGATTTCTAAATTTGATCCATTCAATTGCATTTATTTGCCTTCCAGTTTGCTTCCAGAACTGTTTATTGGAATATGCACTTTTATACAGGGTCTGTGTTTGTATATACAGTTTTTTACATCATTTTAAGGTCGTGCAATGAACATTTGTCGTGACGTTATGTACGTGCTAGGCATTGCAACTGAATTGTTTGTGTAAATAATGGACCTTAAACGGCAAATATATGATCCTATTCTTGAAAATTAATAAATTATTTAAGAACTTCATATTAACACTAAACAACACAAGAGGTGAAGTGCTCAGATGAATGATGATTGAACACCAGCCAAAAGATATATTAATAGCTAAACATTTCGGGGTTACTAAAATCATGATGCATCCTTATTGCAGGGGTTGAAGCTCTAGGTAACGAAAAGAGGCACCTTTTCTCTGTGGTTGCCCTTAAGTTGATTTTGTCCTATGGTACCTTAAGAAACAAAAAAAAGATCCTTTTTTCGTCGTGATAAGTAAAGAATTTTATTCATATGGAAGCACCAAGTAGGTGCACAGAAAAATTGCCAAGATCTGTTGCGGTTTAAAGCGCAATGTGCAATTGAAGCGCGAGTTTTAGTGAATACAAATTAAAGAATAAAAATGTGTTTTTTATGTAAGAAAAAATTACTTTAAACTCAAACAACGATTAAATGTAAAAACTACACAATTAAGTATAATATATGAAGTAAAAGTCATGTGAATCAATTTTAAAGACCATTTTGAATTTCTGATTCAGATACAAAGATGAAATTTTAAGTTTTTAATTCGGGTCCAGTGACTTGTCTTCTTATACTAAATGTCTTATTTCCTATTTCTAACAATTTTATATTCAATGTTTGCTTAACGATTAATACATCACATTGCTCTACGCATTTGTTAATGTAGGCTTCTTCAAGGTAAAGTCCATAGACCTAGCATTAAAGCTACGTCTATGCGAGGCTAAGCGTTCAGCCTGTGCTGCACCTAGTTCAGGGCTTAAGAGTGCTTGAACATAGTCTTTTACAACATTTTATCTTAGTGTTAACTTATACCTCTTACTTTCTTTTCAATCTCTTGCATTCTATGAACATATGTTTTGTAGGTCTTCCCACCTTTTCTGCTTCTACCAGTCTGTTCTGTTTTACGGGAACATTCTTTTGCCACTTCGTCATGGTTGGATTTCCTTATAAGCCAAATACAACTTCTTAATGTGATTGTTATGCATGTTAATTTACAGGTAACCTGTTCTTTGTGTAGCGAGACAATGGAGCGTGAGGTACTAACTGTTCACAAAGGTGAAAATTGCCCACAAAGGATTGTGACATGCGAATATTGCGAGTTTCCTTTGCCTGCAATTGATTTATTTAAGCATCAGGTCATAATGAGCTATGATTAGGCTTCTTTTTCTATTTTGTAATTGTTTTGGGTAAATGATCGAACTTCCATATCCTGCTGTTTTTCATAATATCTGCATTCCTTTACCAGGAAGTTTGTGGGAATAGAACAGAACTCTGTCATCTGTGTAGCAGATATATTAGACTCCGTGAAAGAGATGACCATGAGAGTAGATGCAATGGAGGCACAAATATCGTTGCAGAATCTTCCAGGTATTATGGACCTAAAATGTTTATTTAGTTGGCATTTTGCATGTCCCCTTGGTCGTTTTGAGCCGTTTTTTCTATGCTGAGTGGATCTAGGCTTTGATTCTTTGGTGATGTTTATGAGATCCAACTGTCAAAGCCCGTTGGAAGCATTTATCTCTCTGTCATTCCTACATAAACGTAATTGTTGCACAGACATGCATTTACGATGCTTATTTTTTGCCTTCCTCTCTTACGCTACAACTAGTCTATGTATCTTGTTTCAGTGATTAGTGAACACTGACTTATAGGACATAGAGTTCCTCCCCTAACTGCCTAACCTAAAGGCAAAAAGATAAAACAGAAAAAAGGAAATATTCTGTATAGACGCACGGTGGTGTGTGGTAACGAGTTATGAGCCTAAGAACATCATGTCTGGAAATGAAGGGGGTCTTAGTGAACATGAGTAATAAGCCTGACATCATAAAGGATAGACGGGTTCCTGCTTGACACCTACTCTTGACATGGTGTTGAGTCAAATTCTATTGCTGGCAACATGTCAAGTTTGCTGGTTAGTAACTGGGACGAGGCATTCTACCATGAAATACTTTTCCCCTTTTCGATTCAGTCCACTTAGCATAAGATTGTCCAAATGGATATTAGATGAGCTGCTTTTGAGCGATGTATGAAAATCAGTATTTCTCCTACCTGGACATGAATATAACACAAGAATCTCTAATAAAATCTAGGTCAGACATGACTGGGAGGTGACGTGTTTATACACTTCCTTATTTCTCATCCATAATGCAGTTAGTGCATATAAATATGCATATACTTGTTTCCTTTATGTTTTACCTACCTAGTAAAAGGTGATCAAATTTTCTAAGGTTACACTTGAACTTATTCCTTTCTCTGTGAGGTTATTTCTTCGTCTATCTTATCTATGTTAATCAAGAAAGTGTCTGGTTTTCTGCCAGCTTCGTCTCCCCTTTATATATTTGATTATCTTATTTTGGAAAGAATCTTTCTGCTGTGCGTATATAATAGATGGATCTCACATATTTAGAGTCTCTTGGCATTCTTTGTCTATCAATTTTATGATATATTACAGTGGTTGGAATGGGCATCCACGTCCACAATTCATAATAGTACACTACATGTGAAACCTGAAATCGAGGATTACAAGAGTTGATCAATAAGAAAATGAGCAACTGTTAGCTCATGCTATGCCCTATGCAGAAACTTTATGGTTTTAGAAAAATAATACAGGTGAAAGGGTGTGATTTTACCACCATTCTGTGGAAGTTAGTAAAACTCAAGTTGCTCCCAGATATCCGCGTGTGGTCTTTCATGTAACTTGCCATCTAATCCAGCCGTTGCAATTGTTCCCATCATATTTCTTGACCAATAAATACTAAGCACTTGTAAACCATCTACCACTACTCTCCTTAACTGTAGTTTACTGGTGCTATATCTTGTGTTGTATGCCAAATGCTCTAGTCTTTAATTCTTTTGTCCCGCTTTTGGTATTTTTGAAGGAACATTAGTCGAGCTGAGAGAGATCGTGGTGCTCCTAGAAGGCAGCCACATGAGTTTTCCAAGAAGCGGCTTCTATTTACAATTGCAATAACAGGCGTTGCTGTTTTGTTTGGCTCACTCATTTTCCAGAGGAAAGTTGAAAACAGTCAAGTGCCGTAGCAGCTTTACTGTAATTGTTTATCTTACTATCAGACAAGTTGATATAAGGATATCTGCGTTTCTAATTCCTAATGTACCTACAAGCAATATAATGAACATGCAAATCAAAGATGAGTTCCACTAAAATTGTATTTTTAGTTGATCAAAATAATGTAATCGCCTTCTTGAAAACATCCCATCCATGACAAAAAGAAGAGCAAACTCTTGTAGAAGCTGTGGAACGCAATGATTTATTTGGAGTCACAACTCAGAATGAACAAACTGAGTTTCCACTATATATGTACTTGAACTGTCAGAGGACTCCTCAACACTATACTGAAATGCCCTTAAATTCCAACTTAATTAATCCTCTGCGATATCATTCTTAAATCAGGAAATTATGCAAAGTATCACACTCTAGCACATCTTAGTAAAGAATATAAACACATAGTTGGACATAAAATTACTATATTCGATGAGAATTAAACTTAAAACCTCTTAGTCTCAACAACTTTATCTAAGACTTGGAAACCACCCAGCCAGTGGCGAAGCCAGGAAATTCAATAAGGGTGTTCAAAATTGCTAGTGGGCTATGTAAGGGTGTTCAAAGTCTATTTTTTAATCAATAACAAGTAATATTTTGCCTTATACGTAGTATAATTTTTCGGCGAAGGGTGTTCAGTTGACCACCCTTGGGCCAACATAGCTTCGCCCCTGCACCCAGCTAAGGCCTCATTTTCATGTTTCAGCACTCGAAAAAAAGATATTTTTATGAGTATTTTTACCACATCGCGTTCAAAGTTAACAGAGTGGACTATATATAACATAGACATATATATAGTGCAACTTGTTAAAATATGTCGTCAACCTGTAGTTCGAATTAATAATAATAATAATAATAATAATAATAATAATAATAATGTCAACTATGAACTAACTAAAGTAGGGCCTTAGGATTATTCTGCATGTGATTGGAAAATTGACTTAATAATGGCGCGGAAAGTTTAATAATGTTTGTTTACTAATATACCCGAAAGATTAAAACGCTTGTAAATTATCAAACACATAAATTACAAGCTGGCTGACATACCAATTACTGCTATTAATGAGGATGTCACGATGAGAGAAAGGAACAAGATTGACAGATTTTTGTAATTGAGAGATGTAATGATGGAAACATACGACAGAATGTCACGACCGAACCAAAGCATGTCACTTTTTCCGCCTTTATCTTTTTGAGACAGATATATCAGAATTATCTCTTCTACGTTAAGTATTCGTACTATTATGCTTTTCAATATTTTCAACTCGTGAACACTTGCATTAAATATCAGTTACTATTTAAATTGGGTTTATTTTTTTTTTTTTTTATAGATTTGCAGTATTAGTGTAATTTTATTGGATTAGGCAAGTTGTTATTCTATTTTTCAGCTTATTATATTAGATTTGCTATAATGAATTATTTATCATTATATATGTAGGTGAATTTAACCTGATAATATGAAAGATTTACTCAGGTTAGTACACTGATAGAGACGTAGCTAATTTTATTAAAGGGATCAATTAAATTTACTTCGTCAAGAAAATTAAATATCTAAAATGGATAAAAAAAAAATTTGTATATATAAAATTGTTGAATCCCCGACATAGATTAAAACATTAGATGTGTTACTTTCACATTTTTTTAATTCAAATTTCTGGCGTTGGCCGCTGAGAGTACAGTTATGGCATGTGTTAATGGTGTTCATAATTCATAGGAGTAGCTATTAGGAGATGTTAATATGCATCTCTCTCCTCTCCTCCAAACCTATAAATAAATTTGTTTTTTCAAATCTTGAAGCATATTCAGATTCATACCACACTGGTACCTCTCTCTCTCTCTCTCTCTCTCTCTCTCTCTCTCTCTTCATATATGATATATGTATATATTGATATATGTATGTATGGTTCTTCTTCATAGGTGGTTGCTCTGCTGTACGGGGGGACACAGAGGGAAAAAAATTGTTATTAGAGAAACAATGTCTTCTACAGGACTGCGGTTAAATGCTCAAAATGACTATGTAAGGTTTTATCTTCTTTTATTCCAATCATGCAAATTTCTTTTTTTAGAACTTACTGTATTCATTTTGGCTGTTCATAATAATTTCCTAGCCCACTTTTTTCCTGGCGTGGTAATCATATACTTAATAAGCCCTTTCGTTAGCTTTGATATGTATCTGCCTTATGAGAAATTATCTGAGGCACAAGGGAAAGCTCTGTTTTGTTGGTTGGGTTTCCTTTTTTTTTTTTTTTTGGTGTGATGGGTGGGGTGGGGTGGGGTGGGTGGGGGAATTTGCAAAGATTATTTTTCTTGTTTAACCATCCCGTGTCCGAAACCCGGAGATTCCTCTATTTGTCTCGAATACGAGACTTATAGTTAAGGGATCTTATCTATCCCGCCACACGTTTACAAATAAAGATTGATTTTTTTTCTTTGTGTAAGAGTGTTTATTTTTGTAGGTGGTGATAAACAATGGAGTAGTGGAAATAACATGGACAAATCCAGGGGGAATTATCAGAGGGATAAAGTACAAGGGAATTGACAACTTGCTCGAACTAAACAATAAAGATTTGAATGGAGGGTAAGTATAAAAAAGTAGTTTTCACAATTCCTTTGTTTTCTGTTTCAAGTTCTGGTCTTTCCTATTTTAAGGCCTTTAAAGTTGTTTTGTATTCTGATTATCAAAGAAATATGTCTTTCTGGACGTACAATATCTGTTATAATATCCGAGTCTGTCTTTCTATCATTTTATTAGGATGATAATCCAGTGTTTTTGCCAGAGGCGGAGCTAGAATTTGAAGTTTATGGGTTCTAAACTTGCCGTCGAACCCATAGCTCGTTATAGTTACTGGGTTCACAATTGAATATTTACACATATTTAATGAATTTACTAATACACATATAGGGTCTAAGCAAAAGCTACTGGGTTCTCCGAACCCATTACTTATGCTCTCCCTCCGCCCCAGGTTTTTGCAACCATATATAGTTGGATAAATAGTGATTTGTTTGATGTTGTTGAAACAAACAGGTTCTGGGACCTTAATTGGAGTGAGGCTGGTAGTACAAAAACAAGGGGAAAGTTTGACACGTATGTACTCTTCATCCTTTTCCTTTAGAAGAAGTTTAATATTGCTTAGCGTATCAGCTTTAGGGTGCTACAGGCGGAGTCAGGATTATGAAGCTTATGAGTTCAGAATTCTTGTTTTTTTAAGTTACTGGGATCTAACTTAATAATTTGTGCATATTTAATAATTTCTTAAGACAGATATAAGGTTTGGACCAAAGCTACTGCGTTCGGCCGAATCCATAGGTGAAGGGCTGGCTCCGTCCTAGGCTACGGTTAATTGACCAAGGTTAAGAAGTATAGAGATTGCTTTATCGTCAATTGTTTTGTTGTATGGATTATTAATGCAGGATAGAAGGGACAGATTTGCAAGTTATAGTGGAAAACGAGAAGCAGATTGAGTTGTCATTCACAAGAATGTGGAATCCAGCAGTCCAGGGTGAACAAGCTCCTTTATATATTGATAGAAGGTTCTTGCTTGAAGTTAGATAGTTTCTTTTGAAGTTTCATTAGATTTTCTCATAAATGATGATAAACAACTTGGATTCCTACTTATTTGCAGGTTTATAGTATTTCGTGATGTCCCAGGATTTTACTCGTATGCCATCTTTGAGCACACAAAAGACATGCCTGCTTTCAATCTTAACACAACCAGAATTGCTTTCATGCTCAATAAAGAAAAGTAAGAATCGTCGTAGCTAATTTTTTAAAATGAAGCAGCATGTTAAAGTGAACGAACTTGATTCATTTGCAACGGTTGTGCTCTCTTTTTATTCGATATTCTATCATTGGAAAGGAATTAACTTAATAGACGGAGGAAAGGAAAGAAAATGCTAGGATGTAGTCCAAAATGCATTTGTCCAACGTTCTTTTAAAAGCTGCCTTCGTAATGAAGAATGTTGTGTCCTTAAGGATGTAGAATGACAAACTCTTAGAAGATGACCACTGCAAACAGAAACCAAAAGAAGTAACTCTTTAGTATCTTTATGGCGTTACCAGGTTTCACTACATGGCCATAACAGATGATAGACAAAGATTTATGCCTAGTGCAGAAGACCGGCTTCCAGAGAGAGGCCAAGCGCTAGCCTATCCTGAAGCAGTTCTCCTTGTTGATCCTATAGAACCTGAATTCAAAGGAGAGGTATTATACTTATGGTGAATTACAGCATGAAATAAGTAAGCCTGTATCGTAAATAAGAAATTTATAATGCACTTAATTTAGTATTTCCTTTGGATCCGCAAGTGTAGGTGGATGACAAATATCAGTATTCACTTGAAAACAAAGATAATCAAGTGCATGGATGGATATGTTTTGACCCTCCTGTGGGATTTTGGCAAATCACTCCTAGCAATGAATTTCGAACAGGAGGACCCTTCAAACAAGATCTAACCTCCCATGTGAACCCGACTATCCTTGCTGTAAGCGGTTAACTTAATCAATATTTCTAGTTATAAATTAGAGACAAATAACTGTATGCATGGTTTCAGTGAAAATTTTGCATTCAGTTGTTTTGTAATCTTCAGTATCTCCCAAGTTTTTCTAGTATATAAGTTTGATCATAATCAAAGCCATACATTAGTTTATATGAACACAATCACATTGTGAACTTTCTCTGACCTAACTAATATGATTCCTCTAACTATTACTTCTCACGAGTAATTTCTTAAGATTTGCTTGCAGATATTTCTAACTTCCCACTATGCTGGTCCAGATCTTTTGGTAAAATTCGAGCCTGGTGAGGAGTGGAAGAAAGTCCTCGGGCCCGTGTTCACATATTTTAATTCTATATCAGACAAAGATATGGCTCTATCGCTTTGGGATGATGCAAAAAGACAGGTTAGGGGTAAAGCGAAATTGAACCCACAATAGTAAAGCAGTATAGTATTTTTATAACCTGACATAATCTTATATTTATTTAGATGAACAAAGAAGTCCAATCCTGGCCGTACTATTTCCCAGCTTCTGAAGAATTTCCTAAGTGTGGTCAAAGAGGCATAGTTAAAGGTCGATTGTTAGTACAAGACAGGTATCGTCCTCTCTTACCTTGATTCAACATTTTGCATTTCCGGGTTCAATTGCTATGTTTTCTAAGTTAAGTCCCATGATCTTAAGGACAGATACTTAAGCGAGGAAAATTTACCTGGAAAAGATGCATATGTAGGACTCGCAGCCCCAGGAGATGCTGGATCATGGCAAAGAGAGAATAAGGTAATTGCCTCCTTCACTTTAGACTAAACAAGAAAAGCAGCATTTCAAGTAAACCAGCTCATCCGACATGGACACAAACCAGTTTAACGCACTAAGGGGTCGTTTGGTAGGGTGCATAAGAATAATTCTGAATATGGTGTATTAGTAATGCTGGTATTAGTTATGCTTGCATTAGTTATGCTGGTATTAGTTATGCTGACATATTTCTTATTCATTGTTTGGTTTGATGTATTAAAGTATTGCACAATTTCTAAAAGAATTGTTTGTTTACAAAAATGCCCTCAAAACTCGTCCACACTCGAACTTTTTAAAAGAAACATATGTTGAGAAATATTTTTATATGAAAAAATTTTAAAAAACTTATTTTATTTGTCTACCTATATTGTAAAATAAAATTAAGTATTTATTTATTTACTAGGGTCTCACTATTTGAATTATTTTGAATTTGCATTAATATACTAACTAGCTATTTTAATCAAGCATAAATTTTGAAGGACAATTTTGTCTTTTACTAAGCTAATGCATGCATTAAAACCCATTGCATTGCTAATACCATTATTTTCTATGCATTAGTTATGCATAGGCTAATACCAAATAGGATGTATATGTATAACTAATGCTTGCATAACTAATGCATAGGTTCAAAATGTCTACCAAACAATGTGTTATTAATACACAAAGCTAATGCATGCATTAGCTTATCTAATGCATCCTACCAAACGACCCCTAACAGTCATATTACCGTTTTACCAGGGTTACCAATTTTGGACTACAACAGATGAAGACGGCTACTTTTTTATTAAGAACATACGTGCAGGCTTATATAGTCTTTATGCATTGGTAGCTGGATTTATCGGGGATTACAAGTATGAAGTTGTAATAACTATAACAGAAGGTTCTATTAAGTAGCATCATTTTCGATTAGAATATATGCTGAATTCTGCTTTATGCAAGGTTGTAACCATTAGCATTAATGTTAATGCAGGTTGTGATATTGAGTTGGGTGAGCTTGTTTATGAGCCTCCAAGAGATGGTCCTACCTTGTGGGAGATCGGTATCCCTGATCGCTCTGCTGCAGAATTTTATATTCCCGATCCAAACCGAAAATATGTTAACAAACTTTATATAAATCAAGACAAGTAAGCTTTCTTAACAACTTCATAAAGTTAACCACGCTAGTGTTCAAGAAGCTATAACTGAATATAACAATTTACTTGCATAATGTCTTTAGAACATCATACTTATTTGAATCAGTTTCCCTTTAATTTTCTCCAGATTTCAGATTATGGACGACATGAGAAAACACCACTAAATTTAACACTTTAAGAAATACTTATGATGCTGTTTCCCTAGTGCTGTATAATTGGTAACTCAAAGAAATTTTTATGTTGTAACTTTTTCCCAGATTTAGACAGTATGGTTTGTGGGAGAGATATGCAGAGTTATATCCCGATAATGATTTAGTCTACACAGTTGGAGTTAGTGACTATCAGAAGGACTGGTTCTTTGCTCAGGTTAACAGGTGATAACTCCTTAATATACCAGCATTACTTTGTCTAATTCTGAGTTGTATTAGAAATCAAATTTCATGAAATTCACTTAATTTAAGGGAAAGATTAAATCTAGTGCTACCGATAATTTCCTTTAGACTCCTGAGTTAATCCCAAGACTCCACAGAACTGATCAGTGTGTAAATACTTGATGTTTAGGAAGATAGGCGAAAATGCATATCAAAGTACTACATGGCAAATCAAGTTCAAGATTGATAATGTAGATCAAGTTGGAGCATACACATTGCGGTTGGCGCTTGCAGCTGCCAATCATGCTGAATTGCAGGTATCATATTACAAAGACTTTAAATAATGTGGAAATGAATTGAACTGGTTGGCGTCGTTGTGTCTCACCTAGTAAATTTCTGTTTTTACTGAATTAGTGGAAAACTAACATGAGTTGAAACTTTTTGTAAAAGGTCGGGATCAACGATCCAACAACAAATCCTCCCCTATTTTCAAGTGGAGAAATCGGAGGAGATAATGCAATTGCAAGGCATGCTATTCATGGAATCTATTGGTTGTTCAATGTAACAATACCTGGTTTTATACTTTTGGGAGGAGAAAACACCATATTTTTGACACAAACAAAGACCGCGAACACTTTCCAAGGGATTATGTATGACTATATTCGCTTGGAAGGTCCCTCATGCTAGAGTGAAAACCTTTGATTTTTCCACACAGAAAATCCTAGTAGAACTACTCATTTGTTGCCACAAATAAAAAAGATTATACATATCTATAGCATTCTCGCCTTTTTAACTAGAAATGCACTATTTTGATAGGGACTTCTTTAAGTTTGACATCCTGATATGGATTTTACTTGCTATTCCTTTCTCAGGTCTTGACTTTTACTTTATTGTTATTGTTGTTGTTGTCCGCCAATTTACTTAATGATCTAAACTCGGAGTTCATGGTGTCAATCAGCGTGTATAAGTTACTTGAGGTTTATGGACCATAACATGTCAAGGAGATTGGAGATGAACAAATTAATTAGGGGTATGTTTGGTATGGAGAAAAAAAAAACAAATCTGTTTTTCCATGTTTGGATGATCAAAGAAGTTTGGAAACATATTCGAGAAAATGGTCAAAATAGTCCTTAGGAATAGGGGTTGAACTATTTTGGTCTTTGATGCACTCCCTCCGTTCACTTTTACTTGGCACGTTTTTAACTTTTCACGTCCCTTAAAAAACAATGATAGACATGATAAATTTACCACAATAACCCTATTAATTGATACTCAATAATTGAACCCAAATTCGCATATCTATTTATAAGAGCCACTATGAAGTTCCAAGTAAATTTAATTGTAACGACCCGACCGGTCATTTTGAGAATTAACGCCCCGATCCCTTGTTAACTGCTTTCCCCGTGTCTTTTTCTGCTATCGTGATATTCCGGGATGGTTCGTGCTGAGTTTCAAAGTATTTTGGGACACTTAGTCCCCAAATGAGAGTTTAAGTTTTAGAATTTGGACCGTAGTCGGAACAGTGTCAAGACGGCTCCGGAATGGAATTCCGTAGATTGCGTTAGCTCCGTTGGGTGATTTCGGGCGTGTCCGGATTGTGTTTTGGACGTCCGTAGCTTATGTAGGCTTGAAATGGCAAAAGTTGAATTTTTAGAGTTTCAGGGCGATAGTGGAATTTTTGATATCAGGGTCGGAATCCGTCCGGAAGTTGGAGAAGGTCGGTAGTGTTGAATATGACTTGTGTGCAAAATTTGGGGTCAATCGGACATGGTTTGGTTGGTTTCGGCATCGGTTGTGGAATTTTGGAAATTCAAGTTCATTAGGTTTGGATTGGAGGGTGATTCGTGGTTTTGGCGTTGTTTGTTGTGATTTGAGGGCTCGACTATGTTCGTATGATGTTTAAGGATTTGTTGGCATATTCGGTTGAGATCCCGGGGGCCTCGAGTGAGTTTCGAATGCTTAACGTATTTGAATTTGGACTTAGGCAAATTCTAAACTTGGCTGCTTCTGGTGTTTTCGCACCTGCGGTGGGAAGCCCGCAGGTGCGGCCCCGTAGAAGTGAGGAAGGAAGTCGCAGATGCGGTTAGAGGCAAGGGGACCAGTGGCCGCAGGTGCGACTCAGGAACCTCAGAAGCGGAGCCGCATCTGCGAGAAATGAGCGCAGGTGCGGTGCCTGAGGAATCAATGAAATTTCGCAGATGCGGAGCTCTAGCCGCAGAAGTGTGACCGCAGAAGCGGCCCCATGACCGCAGATGCGAAAATCGCTGGGCAGAAAAGGGGAGTTCGAGGATTTGAAATTTCATAACACAAAATTTGATTTGGATCTCGGTGAGAGGCGTTTCTTGAGGGATTTTTGAAGGGGAACTATTGGGTAACGAATTCTAACTCTATTTTGGATCATATACATAAATCTATTGTTGTTTTCCTCATTTAATCAAGGGACTTGAGTGGAAGAAATGATAATTTGGGGGAAAAATTTCCCAATCAAAATTTTGGATTTTGGTAAGGTTTTAGGCGTCGGAATTGAATAATTTTTGGCCGAGTGATCTCGTGAGTGAATGGGAGTTCATAATTTGTGACTTTTACCCGATTCCGAGATATAAGGTCCGGGGAGGATTTTTGGGCGTTTTTCCTATTTTCTTACCCTAGCTTGATTTCATTAGTTAAATTAGTTACTTGTAGTTATATATTTATATTATGCAATTGGTTTGATTAGATTTGGGCCATTCGGAGTCGGATACTCGTGGAAAGGGCGTGATATCGAGTTGATTTGAGCGGTTCGAGGTAAGTGGCTTGCCTAACCTTGTGTTGGGGAACTTCCCCTTTAGGATGTTTGGTAATATTTGATGTGTGATTGCCGTGTACGTGAGGTGACGAGTACGTACACGGGCTATTGCTACAAAAATCCCATTTTTCCTACTTAATCTTAAACTGTTTTCCCTTGTTAAATTGAACTACTATATTTAATTGCTGAGATTTGACTAGGAAAGCATGCCTACGTGTTTTAACTGTTTATTTTGAATTATGTGGACCCCCTTTTTTCCTCGTGTGTGTTTAGTCTAAACTGTATAATTTGATGCCGTACCTGCCATATTTTTCTTGAGCTGCATATTTACTTTGGGACTACGGACGTATTCCGGAAGATCCTCCTGTCTTGCATATTTATTTTGGGACTACATACGTATTCCAGGAGATCCCCCAGTACTGCTTATTTATTTTCGGACTACGGACGTATTCCGGGAGATCCCCCAGCACTGCATATTTATTTTGGGACTACGGACGTATTCCGGGAGATCCCCCAGTACTACATAATCATTTCGGAACCTATGGGGAGGTATCCAGGGAGAGTTCCTATTGTGTTTACCTTGTTCGGAGCCGAGGGCTCCCTTAACTGTTAAAATTGTGCAATTTGTTTAAATGTTTTACCGTAAACACTATTTATATCTTTTACTGCTTAATTTGTTATATATATATACTCCGGTAGGGCCCTGACCTGACCTCGTCACTACTTGACCAAAGTTAGGCTTGTCACTTACTGGGTACCATTGTGGTGTACTCGTGCCCTTTCCTGCACATGTTTTCGTGTGCATATCCAGGTACGAGCTATCAGCCTCGAGATTAGTGCGTGCTTGCTGATTCCAGGAGACTTCAAGGTATTTCTGCCCGCGTCCGCAGATCCTCGGGGTCCCCTTCTATTCCCTCCTAGAGATTTCCTTTTTGTTTATCTTCAGACTTTTGTATAGAGCTATATAGATTATAAAAGTTTGTGACTTAGCGATATTCCGGTTCTTGGGAGACTATTTTATATATGCCGGGAAGCTCTATCCTTGTTATTTACAATATGCTGTTTAATTTTTATTGTAGTGTCTTCTTTAATTTTCCGTAATATTAGGCTTACCTAGTCGTAAAGACTAGGTGCCGTCACGACATCTTTTGAGGGGTTAAATTGGGTCGTGACAAGTTGGTATCAGAGCTCTAGGTTCATAGGAGTCGTGAGTCACAAGCCGGTTTATTAGAGTCTCGCGTATCGGTGCGGAGACGTCCGTACTTATCTTCGGGAAGCTATGTAACTGTTAAGAACAATCATACTTCTTTGATTTCATTGTCGTGCGAGTCATTGACATCAAAAATCCTAAAATACTATTCTACTCTTTCTCATAGATGGTGAGGACCCGTACCGGGAGGACTGACGACCAGGCACCCGAGCCCCCTGCCAGAGCTGCCAGAGGCCGAGGTCGGGGTAGAGGACGACCACGTGGTGCAGCCCGAGCACCTGCGAGAGCTGCGACATAGGAGCCCCCAGCATCTCCAGCTGGAGGGCCGGCACCAGAGATGCCTATTGCTACTCCAGCCCTCCAGGAGACTTTAGCTCAGTTCATGAGCATGTTCAGCACTTTAGCTTAGGCTGGAGTACTTCCGATAGCTCTCGCTGCATCTCAGGCCAGGGGAGGGGCAGAGACTCCCGCAACCCGCACTCCCGAGCAGAGGGTTTAAGTCGATCAGGCCCCAGAGTATATTCCTATGCCCCAAGTGGCTCCGATTCAGCATGAGACCAGGGTAGCTGCTTCTGAGGCAGAGCAGCTCAGACTTGAGAGGAGAAGTACCGCCTACCTACCTTCAACGGACTAGCCTCAGATGACGCTCTGGATTTTCTTGAGGAGTGTCATCGTATTCTCCGCACTATGGGCATTGTGGAGACGGGTGGTGTTTCTTTCAACGCTTTCTAGCTGAGGGGAGCGGCATAACAGTGGTGGAGTGCCTATGTGCTGAGTAGTCCGGACGAGGCAACCTCACTCACTTGGACTCAGTTTTTAGAGATGTTTTGCGTGAGTATGTCCCTTAGAGCCTTAGGGATGCTTAGCACGTAGAGTTTGAGCAGCTGTGCCAGGGTGCTATGACTGTGTCGGAGTACGCAGTCCGTTTCAGTGAGTTAGCTCGTCATGCACCGGCTTTGGTTGCCACCATCAGAGAGAGGGTTCCTCGCTTCATCGAGGGATCTCCATCCTAGTATTCGGACCAGTATGGCCAGAGAGTTGGAGATGGACATTTCTTATCAGCAGACAATGAGTATTGCTAGGAGAGTGGAGGGCATGCTTGCCTGGGACAGAGAGGAGAGAGAGGCCAAGAGGTCTCGAGAGATTGGTCATTATTCAGGAGCTCGTGCACCAACAACACGCTACGGTAAGGGTTTTGTGAGTCACCCTGTTCATTCAGCTCTGCTAGCAGCCAGTGGTGTTTCGGCTTTTCCCAGGCCTCATGAGCCCTATTATGCACCGCCAGTATCCAGTATGCCTCCTGCTCGAGGTGCTATTACCGGCCAGACCAACAGACCAGGTCTGAGTCGGTCTCAGCCACCACGTCCTCCGAGGGGTTGCTTTGAGTGAGGTAACACTCATTACATGGTTAGAGATTGCCCCAGAGCCAGGAGAGACGCACCTCCATAGACTTATCAGCCTCCACGTGCTCCATCGGGTCCTCCGGCCATTCTCCCAGCCCCATCTGCCGCTCCACCTCCTCAAGCAGCTCGGGGTGGAGGTTGGGGAGGTCGGGGTCGCCCTAGAGGGGTAGGCCAGGCCAGGTACTATGCCCTTCCAGCCCGTTTAGAGGCCGTCACTTAAGACTTAGTCATCACTGGTATCGTCCCTGTCTGTCATAGGGATGCATCAGTATTATTTGACCCAGGCTCTACGTATTCATATGTGTCTTCTTATTTTGCTCCACATTTGGGGATATCTCGGGATTCTTTGAGTTCTGCTGTTTATGTTTCTACTCCTGCGGGAGATTCTCTTGTAGTGGACCGCGTATATCGGTCGTGTTTGATTGCTCTTAGTGGTTTTGAGACTAGAGCCGATCTGTTATTACTCAGTAGGTAGATTTTGATGTTATCTTGGGTATGGACTGGTTGTCGCCCCATTATGTTATTCTTAATTGTCACGCTAAGATCGTGATGCTGG